GTGCCCTGTGTGGGCCTGGCATCCCGTCCTTGATCTTCCCCTCTTGTGCCCTGTGTGGGACTGGCATCCCGTCCTTGATCTTCCCCTCTTGTGCCCTGTGTGGGACTGGCATCCCGTCCTTGATGTTCCCCTCTTGTGCCCTGTGGTTCTTGGGATGGGCTTCATGCTCAGGTTAACCTTGTACTGGATAAACTATTATGGAAGATGGATCCTGATACTGTCTTTGAATCGACAAATCAATAAGACTAAACAATATTCTGTGTTTAAATTGTGAAGATTCTGAATATTCCAAGCAATTAGAATAGTGATACATTATTGATCCCTGTGGGGAAATTCTCTTTTTTGCTTTGCAGGTGAGAGCAGGCTTAGAGGGTCACAGCAAAGGGGCAGCCACCTTGTGGGGCCCAAAGAGCTGGGGGTTAAGGGCCTTTTTCAAGGGCCCACAGGCATATGACCATTCTGCCAAGGCCAGGCTTGAATCAGCAACCTTCTGCTTACAGGCAGAGTCCCCTGAGCCATACACCACCCGCATCAGATACTGAATGGACCATTCAAGCCAGGGATTTTGAGTTAGAGCTAAGCAGCGGACTCAGATCAGAGGTCTGCACTTACAGTTCACATTATTCATTATGTTTTATCTTACAGGATTATAACTGTTGTCACTCCTTCATTGTCCATGTTCTGTACTTCTGTGAATGATGGCCCTTTTCAAATACCAAATACGGAAATTTCAAGAACATTTACAGCAGTAAAACACCGGTAATGTTTAACAAAGCATTTTAATAGGAATACAGTTCAGTAGGTTATATAAAAATAGTAAAATTTTTGCAAACTCTTCTTCAAAGGTCCACTGGTGAAAATAAGGCCACACTGGAAGATCACAGGATTATTACTACAGACCAAGATTTCTACATAGACAATCCAAAACTGCAGAATATTCAGAAATGGATTCATCAAGTCATTATGAAGAATTAAGAAGGGTGGCTTCTTGGTGTTCTGTGAAGAATAAATTCTGCAAACATTTCAGAGAAAACCAAGGGTTAGATGTTTCGTTCAGTGCCCGGTCTGTCTGGCCATGACCACGGCTGTGAAGAAACAGCAAAGCTTGCGTTTATTCAGTAATCATGAGGTAATCTTCCCCTTTGGGGACAGCTAAATGATACCTGCCTACTGACCCACTGAATGAATCCACAGAGAATTGCTTGGCTAATTCAGCCAGACAGACAAAGTCAGTATCTGCAATGCTGGCAACTAAGTTGCATTTTGTGTTTATGTTATGATGCTAAGCTCATTGATAGACTGCATTAAATGATAACTAGAATAGCATATAAGGTGTAATAAATGTGGTTAGGAATTAATATTAAAACAATTAAATATGTGCAGGATCACATAAAAAAATACGTATGGGTCCATTTAAAAATAAATCTGAAGTATTACACTGAGTTTAAGCACTCATAAAATCTTAGCAACCAAAGCAACTAGCGATTATGGTGTTCAATGAAAGAGCTCTAATCTTGTTACAATATGAACAAAGAATGAATGAACTGAATATAAAATAAAATCATCTCAGAGTGCTGGTTCTCTCGTACTGACCTGTGATGGAGTTCAGGCAAAGCTGACAAGACTGCAGAGAGATCTCGTCTCGAAGTGAACCGACTCCTCACAGTCTCCGTTGACGGTCACTTCAAACGGGAAGTCTGTAGAGTTCATGAAATCTCTAAGTGAAAGACATCCAATCGCGATGAGACATAGAAGAGGTCCGTAGGGCTACCTGTAGAGTCGGTGTTCACGTGGTCCACAGGGCATCGGTCACTGAGCTGCCAGGATGTCTTTACTTCTTTAGGACCCTGGCCACTGGACACCTCCATCCCCCACATTAGGGGCTGCTCCCTAAGCCAGTGATGGCATCCAGTCACGACAGTGCAGAAGACACTGTGCTGTCACTGAGACAGGAACTGCCAGTACAACATCAATATGAGCCCGTCTACAGCAGTAAGCAGCCTGTGGCTTTGAACGTCTGTTGCTCAAGGATGTAAGGCAGGGCTATTCAAATGACGGTCCTCAAGGGCCGAGCACTGCTGATTTTCCAGCCTTTCTTTACCCACGAGCCAGGTCTGAAGTCTCCGGCCAATCAGAATCAGTGATTATTAAACTAACTACATGGGCGAACTGAAAACAAGGCCTGGATTTGGAATCGTGGGCCAGATTTGAAGAACCATAATGTAAGGCCTGAATTGGATACATCCATCACCTCTAAATAGCCTCACATGCATCAGCCATAGTCAGCCGTCCTCAGTCTTACTTCTGGTAGAAGCTGCTGATTACTGCCGGTCTGATCTGCAGCTGGAACCTGTGGTCTTCATCATAAGGGTTCGTCTCATAGTGCTCCAAGCAAGACCTGAGGAAAGTAGAAGGATTAATCATTGTGAAAACGTGGGTCTCGGAGACGGCGTTCACAGGTCCTCAGAATGAGAACAGACTGGAAGTCACCATGATAAACCTTTCAAATCGGTACCCTTTTAATCAATAAAGTCATAAAAATTCCGCATTACAATATATCAATTTAAAAGTGCATACTTTTCTTCTTTTTTCCTATCTTGTAATTAACTGGGAATTGATACTGGAGCGAAGGAAAAGGCACTCCATAAGTGATTTGTTAATATCAATTTAGGAAATAAAGCAGAGTTAGTAACCCTCACTAATGTGAAGCGGTTACTGTATCAAGTCTTGAGTCACTGTCAGTCTTTCATCAATACAAAAATCAAGGTATGCAAATTCGGACAACTATTCATCAGCATGCAAGGTCATTGATTAATACCACGCTGCACCAAAACGAAGGGTGCGACCCAATCATATGCCGGTGCGACCACCATAACTCAATAGCACAGTGCTGTGCAAACAACCCTATACAAATGACAGAACCACCACCACACTCACTGTGACAGAGCAAACAGGTGCTCATAGGCCAGACTGAGAAAAGTCCCGCAGGTCACCACCATCTCCAGCAGGTGGTGCAGTTTCTTCACTCGCACGACCTGCTCCAGCAAGTCCACTTCTGTGTTGAGATAGTAACTCTGCAGAAAGGAAGGCAGCACAGTGATAATGACACCCACCACATCCATAATTGTGGTCTGAATTACACAAAGGGGCATTACTAAATCATGCAATATAAGCAACAGTCATTCCAGTATATTTTGTGACCACCTAATCTGAAGGCTTATTTAAAGATTCATGAATGATGTATAAGGTGTTTCATCTGTTGATCACTGGAATAGGTTTAAATTTACCCTCCGCTAGACCCTTTAGATAGACACTAACTATATATCAAAGCTACACATTTACTTGACCCATTTCAAATACAATATCCTTTAACACCATGCTGGCAAAGCGACAGTATTGGCAGTCAATCTTGGGTCTCACCAAGCCTTTCAGTGTTGTTAGTTGTTGACCTAAAACGAAGAGGAAAGGGCAGAGTTGAAAGATCGTTTACTGTATGAAACCCGACACCACAGACTGCGGCCCAGGAAAGGCACATCACCGACGAAATAGTTGATGTAGTCCCTGCGCATCTTGTCCAGGCCAGTCTCCAGAAGCATCCGCACAGGGGCCAGACCTGTGAGGCCCACAGGCTGCAGCTCCTTGCTGTAGGACTTCAGGATCAGCTTGCTGAGGGAACTGCTGCTTTCCCTATGGATCTGGGGGGACAGCAGACACATGGGGGTGGCGGGACTCATGGCTCATAACCCAGCAGAAACGTGTTTACATACAATAACAACAAGGAATAGACCAGCTTACACTCTGAAAACAAGAGCCACTGGATGGCTCATTACAACTTACAGAGAACTATTTCTAAATCAACTGATAAGGTAGTTTCCAAGCAATAAAAAGGTACTACATACCCATGGCTTAATGTTGTCATATTTCAAGGCCTTTATAACCAACTTTAGACAATCTACAATGTCTTGATATGAAGTCACACCTAGAGAAATAAAGAGAAACAACATGAGTTAGCTGAGGTACTGACTCCTCCTCCTTTCCCCCCACGGCAATACAGAAGCTGAGGTACTGACTCCTCCTCCTTTCCCCCCACGGCAATACAGAAGCTGAGGTACTGACTCCTCCTCCTTTCCCCCCACGGCAATACAGAAGCTGAGGTACTGACTCCTCCTCATTTTCACCCAGAGCTGCTCCACAAAGTCCAAGTCCCCTCGCTCTGTGAGGACTGTACTAAAGACAGAGCTGTCCACGGATGACGATTCAGTCCTTGCCTTTGGGATCTGTAGAAAACAGAAGTATCAGCTATAGCAACATATACATTTCAATTGAATAAAAGACATTATTTGATCCACTAAATAGTCTCACCTGATTCCCATCTAAAGACTGGTTCTGTACAGCCTTTGTTTTAATCTGCAGGTCTAAAAAAAAAAGTTATATGAACACATCTAGATGAGCCCAGTCCCCTTGAGCAGATCATTTGTTAGCAGCATGCTAAATGAACTCACCATCTATAAGGGCCTTAACTAGCTCCATCGCAGGCACAGTATCCAATGGCTCCACCCAGTCTGTCCCACCTGTACTCACACCGTCTGCCAGAATCTGCCATTGGCAAACAAAAGGCCACAGTAAAATAACACAATCGTTCTCGCCAATCGACAAGTTAAAACATAAAAGGCCTACTAACAAATAAACACACACAGCTATTTGATTCATAAATAAAACACATACTGCATAAAACAGTACAGAGGCAGGTAAGATGGACCTTCACACATGCTATGTTGGGGTCAGATATGTTGCCTGTGATGACTAAATGTTTCAGGCACTACAGACCTGGACAAACTCCATTTCCTTGTACTGCTCATATATAGGGCTTCTCATATCTCCACTGGCTATCCTGATGTTCTGTGAGAGAGGATGTAACAATTGATACATCAGCTGGATCAAATTGCTACAAAACAAATGTATTAGGTTAATAAGCTTAACTTCATGAAGAGCGTTTTACAATCAAATTAAGTATACTGGACAACTGCAAAACAATACATATGAATAGCACTGCTTTATAAGAGGGACTACGATCCTGTGCCCAGACACTGGGGATTCTGGGAAGGATGATAAATCAATACAAGGACAGTGTGCTGGAGAGGCATCAGGTCGCTCACCAGTGTGGCTGTGGAGGACAGTGGGGGGGTCTGCAGGATGCTCTGGACGTTGCTCCATTTGAAGTCTACGGTCACCGTGCTCTGTGACTCGATCACCGTGTTCTCCACGACCGTGGAGCCAAAAAGGTTGTAAGTCGCAAAACCCCGCGTTGTCATCTAACAAGACGAAGCCAGATGACAGAGCCAATCTCACTCAGTATAAAAGAATCAGGCTTTAAAATCCACACACACTTCTCCACAGTGTGTTGCTTTGGTACACACAGGGCAGCCCGCTTACAGTGGTTGGACGATGCATTTTGGTATGTGTGTGTTTCAGTTCTTCTAATGTGATCAAAGACGTCTTTCCAATGGCTGGACCTGCAAATCAAAATTAAAAATGCTAATGCTGTGCATATTAGCTTAGCTAGGTTATCCCTCACTGAAGAAAACTTTACAATTCAGCAAACGCTACCTTTGCTGCTAACATTGAGCATCTTGACCGCAGTGACCTTGTTCCCGTTGCAAATGGTCTCTGCACCAACCCAGCAGGTTCCCTCAGAGTCTGAGGAGTCACAGCGGACCCAAAGAGGACACAAGGCCAGGTTCCTCCCCTGACACATGGTGGGATTCTGGGAAATCACGTAGTACGACAGAAGCTGCCTATGCAGCAAGGAACAAACACGTACAATGTCATCCTTAATTATTACAGTGTAAACTATTATATACTATATAAAAACATGACAAGGCATGTATTTTGGTCACCTTGCTTTTGTGACCGTTAAACCTTGGGGCCCCTGGTTCAAAAGGGGCTCCGCTGGATCTTCAACCTCTGAGTTTTCAGTTTCATCATCTCGCTCAGGTTTAGGAATCTTAGGAATAACAATGACATGTGATGTTACTTCTGAGACACACTTAATGCTCAGAGAGAACCAGCACGCCTATCAGTCCAGATAACTTACGGCTTTCTCACAGACTAATACTGGGCTTTTGATGTTGTGTAGCGGTATCTTCAGTCGCTGGACCAGTTGAATCTGCACATTTCCCTTAGAAAAAAAGGAAACCAGAAACATTGAAATTTTTCTTTTAAAAAAAATACAACTTGGCTAAACGATCAAAATAAACAAGCAGTCCTACCTCGTATATCGTGGCGCTGCATTCTTCTTGACAATTCCTAAAAAGAAAAGGAAAGAATCACTGAAACACTGGAGAAACTGTTTGCCAACTGTGTTGCCAACTTTGGTCAGCTGGCTGGCGTGAGATTTTCAATACGAGACAAGTCTGCACACACATGCGCACGCATTTACATGTATGCAAGAGTTATATTACCTTGTAAATAATCTGTACAGTTTGCAAACTTGTGATGGAAGTAATTTTAGGTTTATAATAGAATTATGCAGAATTCTTGCGAAAGTCCAAAAGCGTGAGTGTCACGCCAGATGCGTGACAGTTGGCAACCCTGAACAAAGTAATGAATTCGCTGCACAAATGAACAAACCAACACGAATATTGTGTACTTGTAAAAATACATTAACCTATTTAGAACTTCATTAGTGCGTAGCTGGTTCGGTCATGTTAAGCAGTCATTTTTTTTACAATTAGCTGCATAATAATATAAACGGTTTAATGGTTACTGAGAAGCAGGTTATAAATGAGCAAACTCACCGCAGAGTGTTCACAAAAGCATCGGCCAGAGCTGTGATCCTGGCTTTCATTTTTGGTCCCGATCACAATAGCAGGTCGCACCATCGAGAGCCGCCCCGAAGTAATATGAACATCGCGCGCTCTCACGTCATAGAATCAAGCTGACACGCGCACATGACTTTCCTTTACTTATTGTTTGAAATTCTCAATAGTTTAATATATACGTCCACTTAACTCAACTGAAAAATTACAGTGCAATAAATAATTCTTTAATTTATATTACGAAGAAAGAAAAAATATATAGTTGTTAATAGATAATCCTGCCGTCCATCCCTTTTATAATAAGAGCTGCGGACGATACCGCCGCCTAACGACGGGGAGGTGGTAATGTCGAATAAATTACTTTAACGGAGTCAGAGTTGATGCTCTTCAACCCCTAGCAAATATAAATTCATGTCTTCAGTATTTTAATATAATTGGTGAGAAAATGTAGAATTTGGTATTATGTTTAAAGAAATATATCAAATGACGTAAATCGTTAGGGTTATACAGAGCTGTATGTGCTTGTAGTCGGAGCAATGCGTAAAGGAAGTTTGTGTCTCATAATAGTAAAGAAAAACACTTTAGTATGCAGTTGTTCAGCATTTAATTTTCTCTTGCTTAAGTAGTCGTTTAATACGTCGAGTCAAATGATATGTACGTCGTTAATAAAACCGTGTTTGTGTGTTTTAAACGCACTACTGTACACGGTGTGTAGTTCTCAAAGCGGCACACTAGGCGGCGCTCCATTGATTTGAGTGCCGGAACTCGACGGTATTTCCGGTAAAGCAAGACGGGATTCATCCGGTTTGCGGCAGTTTCTCGTGGAGGTAAGCGGGTCGGGTGTATAAATATCGGTTGGAGGAATTTCTCCATTTATATAAGATTAATTTGCTCAGTATTATATAATGTGATTAATGAGACGGAGACTATCGTTGGTTGTGTTAGTCGTAAGTTGCATTATGGGTTTCGTGTTTTAGACGGCTTAACAGAACCAATTAAAGCATTACGTATTAGTATTATATTTACCAGAGACGCTAATTATACTGTTCAGTGAACATGGCGCGTTGGCCATGTGATTATTTTGATGGAGCATTGACTCTTTAATTTGCTTTATGGAGCCTTATGGGCTTGAGGCCGATGGTCCTGGGGGGTTTCCACAAAGCGGGATTTTTTTCTTAGCTAGATAACTTAAGCCATGTGTAAGGATTGTCCAGTAGGGATGTCACTTACCTCTCTTGGTATTTATTCAGTTTTCACGTTTAGGTTAAGTTACTCAACTAATTGGATGATGCTGCTTTGTGGAGTTCCCCCGATCCCAGGCCCCCTAGTGCACATGAAAGGGATCTTATGTGCGTGCATTACGATCACAGGAAAGGACACGAGTGCCATTTAGACCATCCGTATTGTTTGCTCACTATAGTGCTTACATATAAAATAATTTAGGCCAATGTTCTGGGAAATATGTTATTCGCCCCAGACGTGACTCCGGGTACATAACGGATACGGATGTAGGAAAGTCAGGTAACATTGTGGTCTTGGAAGATGGAGGGCATCGCGGCACTGAATATCCTTTTGCAAATGGAAAAATAATCTGATATGGATGAGTAGTACATGTATGGACTTCTCTAAGGCAGGCTGTCATAGCCAAATATAGTTCATTAGTAAAGAAAAGTTAGTTTGTCAGCTGAATTACAATGCATCGTATGTTTTGCTGTAACTTAAGCTGTATGAAACTGTTTTAAATGATCAAATAAATACATAACATATCTTTTGTGAAGTGTGACATCTGTCCTATTTTAGGATCATTTTGAAATCAAGAAATGTAAGCAATTATGGCTTTCTGTTAAACATCGCGAGGTTCAAATTAAGTATGTGTTCAAATTTCTGTGCAATATAGATTTTTTTTCTGCTTCTTTGCAAATGGATGCACAAAAAACAGAACTGCGTTTATCTGTTAGGAGTTGCCCTCTGGTCTAACAAGTGAAATTCTGAACAGTTGAAAAGAGTTGGTGAATGTAAATTGAAACCGAGTGGCTCCGTGGTTCAGTGGGTAAGGTTGGCGACTGGGGAGCTGATAGTTGTGGGTTCAAGGCTCCCCTGGCGATTAGGTGTGTGTGGCTGGCCTCCTCTGGCTGCGGTGCTGAGCTGTGTGCCCCAGCCAAAGGCTCCACACAGAGCAAGGCTGGTTCCTGCCGACAGGGCCTGTCCAGGCATTGGGCTTCCTGTGCGATGGTTCCATACAACTGTGCTTCTCATTTTACATAACCAAATTTTACAGGACATGATGAGTGAATTTAATTTGATAAGCCATTTGCAAAAAAAGAAATGTACAGTTGCTAATCATTTAGCCCTTCGGCTCTGCAAATGTGGGTGGAAATATGTCTGAAATTTTAGCTCATTGCAGTTGTAATTTAACGCTGTCAGTAATTTGCAAAAAATGTGGCAAACAAAACTCGAGTACAGAGGCAACAAAGGAATGAACTGTTCTAGTTTATAAAGAATGTGCAGAGTAAGCTCTTCAGCATAATTACATGTATTTTTACAGGTGATGTGTGGGTGACTCCATACTCAGTTTATATCAGAATGATGGGTATCACCGAGGGAACAATCCTGAAAAAATATGCACTTTAATAATGGGCTACAAAGGCTGGTATACACAAATTTTGAGTGTTGGATAGTTGCCTTTTTAGATTTGGTTACCATGTTACCAGAGAGAGAGCATGAGTGTAAGTGAGTGCATCTATCAACCAATCAATGCAGGGGAATGGTGTCTATACACCACACTGAGAACTTTCATAATAAACCTTGGACTTGTTTTTCATAATAAAGTTATGAAGCTGAGTGCTTGGTGTGCAATGTGTTAAACACTTGTCATTCTAATGACAGATATGTATTTTTTAATATTTTAATATTGTCACAGTATAAATTACAGCGGAACATATTTCTTTATAGAGTAACCAAAGAGAAACTGAAATTCAGTTTAGTTTTTGTTAAATGAAAGCAATGCTGAAAGGATTCAAAATATATAGTAATAAATATAATATGTGCATGGATCGTGAGCTTGAAATGGTTTTCCACCAGTAATTGGAATGTGCAGTGTTTTCACTGCTTCGCAAAGCACAGCGTTTTCTGAAAGAAACTGTCGTATAAACAGTACTGGACAGCTTCATTGTGGTGTTTGCATGGGAGAAGATTATGGAAGAATATATTGTTCCACCTATTTCTTTAACATGCTCTCTGTCACAAACCATGCCAAACTTGCACGCATATCCAACACTCCTACCAAGAGAATACTTGTAGGTCTCCTCACACCCAGCCTCTCAGCTTAACTGTAGGGCTATCAGACAATTTGCATTTACAGTAGCACTGGACAACCACATCCATTTCACTACATTGATGAGGGCACTGGTGCAGGACCATGAGGTGCAGGGGGGCTGGATTTGGCAGAAGCTGGGTGACTCGCTTAGAGAGTCTTGTTTCTTTTTCAAGGTTTTCTCTTGCCTACCGTCACATGCTGTCTGTGTCATACCCTCTAGTGTCGTTACATGATAATGGTGCTTGTGCTATACAGATGCTCCTCTTCTTACGAACTTTCAATATACGAACTTTCAGACATACGAACGAAGACGACTAAGTCTAAATTCTGTTCCTTGCGCCCCCGTTTCCTGTCCGCAACAGCAATTTTTTTTTCTGCATGCCAGTTCCGCCTAGTATGACTTCTGGCCGCTACTCCCGCCGCACAGCAGCGTAGCGTGCGTACTCCCAGCATCCTAGTTCTTTGTACTTGTGTATACTCTTAAAATGATGTTGAATAACGACTTACGAACATTTCAAGTCCCGAACGGCCGTTCAGAACGTAACTCGTAAGTAGAGGAGCGTCTGTGTTCTCTCTTGTTCCACAGTGGGTGTAAAATGTGATGTTCATTCTCTTGGGATGTACAGTACTGTGGAAAAGAATTTCCCCAATGGGAAAAATACAGTCTAACTATATAACTAAATTAGACCGTAAACTGACTTTTATAATCAAGCTTAACCTAAATTCTGCTGCACCAGAAAACCAGGACCATTATCTAAATAGGTAATCCATCCACGTCATTTTTTTTTATCTTGTTCCTTTACTGCAGGTGGAATATACACCACGCATTGTCTCACAAAAAAAATTGAATAAAATCATTACGTGGCATTTCGGCTCTACTAGAATTCATGAGAAACTGAGGAATAGACATTGAGTCAGGTCAGAATTGTGTTCACATAGGAGATAAACTCGAGTTTCTGAGTGTTCCAGTGCAGATCAGGAAAATTATTTCTCTGGATGCAAGAGAATGACTTTTTCTTTTGAAAAAGGAACAGTTCAGTGCACAAAGAACATGTATTGCAATGGACTTATGTATGATATTTTTATTGAGGAAAACTAATATAAAAAACTGAATTATCAACATACCACTGTAAGATCAGGTAAATATTATTGTTCCTAGGGTATACTTGTGTGTACCCATGTTTATGGAACAACTTTAAAGCTGCCCCAGATGGCCAGAAAAATAAAAGATAATTTTATGAGAATGATCGTTAAATATCAAACTAAGCACTGGCCAATGAATGAAACTGAAATGACTGATTGGTTGAATATGCACTAACATTTTAGTTATATATTGGGCTGTATGAAGCAAAATACAATTTCAGTGCTTGTGTGATTCAGAAAAAGTGCTTTTCTCCAGGGTGCAGCATCAGATTACAAGTCCATGGCTTTGTTCACAACATTGTCTGCTGCCCTCGCAAAATTAATGACTGTTGAAGCCAAACTTGGCAGAAATTGTAGCTGCAGGGTCAGTGTTTTCTAGAAATGCGGTAGAGACCTTCCTTGGAAGAACTGCTCATGCGCTGTCACATTGGTTGGGAGCCGTCAACGTGAAGCAGTGGTCTATGCACAAACTTTCCATCTTACTTTAAACCAGTGTTTCTCAACCTGGTCTTTGGGGACCCCCAGACAGGACACATTTTTGCTCCCTCCTATCTCCCTACTGGAGCAAAAATGTGAACTTTCTGGGGGTCCCTGAGGTCTAGTCTGAGAAACCCTACTTTAAGCTACTGACAGACAAGGGCAGATTATTGATAACTGTGGCCCAGGAACCTGGAAATGCTCTACACATTGCGGTCCTGTACTGCTGACAACCATTAATGAAGTATTTTCCAGTTTCACCTGACAGTTTTCTTCAGATTCAGGTGTGGAAATTGCAGCCTGAAGATATTTCGTCTCTTACTGCCAGACCACTCAGGTGAAGCCTTGGGTTTTTTTTATCCAGGTTATCTTCGCCCTAGTTTGACTTCTGCATTAGGAATGCCAGTTCAAACATGTCGCCATCACACACAACCATCTGGTTATCAGGTGTTTTCCATTTTCCCATGTTTGCATTTTCACACGGATCCCTTGCATTAGACACACAGTCAGCAACATGGCTATTTTCCACTGTGTCAGAATGCCATCCTTGGTGGTGGAGCACTTATGTAACCCCTTCATGTAACTTCCTGTTCTGTTACACACTATTCTTAGTGCTCAGGCTGTAGGTCCAGTTAAAGCAAGGAAGTCTTTAGGTATTACCGAACACAAAGCCCATTAGGTATTACCACAGATAGAGATCACCATTGATTTTCCATACCAAGATGTCATGCTTCAGATATTTACATTATATATATTTACATTTATAATGCACACTGTATATTAGGGGCGGTGAAGAGGTTTGGTGGGCTAAGCCTCTTTGCCTGTGATTGGTTCAAACCCTGGCCTCCGCAGAACAGCCACATGTCTGTGGGCCCCTGAACAAGGCCCCTAACCCCCAGCCCCAGGGCTGCTGCACGCTGGCTGACCCTGGGCTGTGAGCCCCAGGTTTGCTCTTACTTGCATATATATCTGTGTCTCAATGGAGAGCAATATGGTCTTGGTCAATGTACCTGTACCAAAAATGGCAAATAAAGAATAATTTTCACTTATGTATGTATATGAACCGTGTTTAGGGAAAATGACTTATGTACAGTAAAGTCTGCTTGTGTAATAATTCACATAGATATTCAAAAGTTAATGTAATCGTCTTGTTTTATTAATATACTCCCCTGAATTACATTAGATGTGGTTTAAGTAAAACACTGATTTTGAAACAAATCTGAAGGGCGTGCAGAGTACATGTACACACAATGGAGCAGTGGTGCAGGAAGCATAAACCATCAGGACTGTTGTGCTACAGCTCGCGTGCAGTGACAGTACCCTCTGTCGACTCACGTCATTGGCACTGCCAGCCATACCCATGCCCCCCTCCCCCCCGGGTGCTGGCCTAGCCAAGTATACATTCAGTAGCAGCACACACCCACAGTTCCACCCCTAGTTTCTGCCCCCCCCCCCCTGTTTCTCCAGGTCTGGAACTTCAGCCCTAGTTTAACTTACCTGATAATCTGGAGATAATCTGACCCTTCTGTGGCATCACAGAGTAGCTATGTCAAAGCTAAGCTGGCTCTAATACTGAGATATTGCTGAAGGGCCTGATTATTTGTATCAGGTGTGTTAAATTAGGGCTGCATCTAAGCTCTGCAGGATGGTAGATCTCCAGGAGCTGGGTTGGGCAGCCCTGGTTCATTGGAACATTCCAGATCTGAATGCAGACTATTCAAATTACTATTTGTGCTACGCAGTTTCATTTCATGAGGAAATTAAAACTGGTTGATTTTCTGTTCAGCACAAAACAGGCTTACTGCTGCCTGCTTTATTATGAAACCTACCCTGAAGATTACCAGCTGTATGACTAAGGTCTGCCTGAGGAGGTCAGACAGAGAGAGGTATGGAACAGCCTTTCAGTGAGCATGTCATCTAACTCCAGTGCAGCATTGTGTAAAAGGGCACTGCGAAGGACCAGCATCCCCTTGGGAGATGCTCACTGGCAACGCACACATGACAGCGGCATCAGTGGCATGGTGTCTGTTTAGCAGCTACAACTGACCCTTGGCCACAGTGAAGCATTTGGGCCATTCAGATGATTGTGGGACACCATCAGGTGCTGAGTTCCTCACCCTCGAGTTATGAGAATGCGTGCATATCAGCACTGGATGCAGTGCTCGCCATGAGCCAGAGATGTTAGTGTTCCTCTGTTCTGCAGCATCTGGTTAGATACGTAACATCCTCCTTACTCAGCAGCACAAGATGGGGCTCTGTGAGAGTGATGGTCTAAGAGCTAACGTCACCCCCTCTCTGCACCGCACATAGCTGTATCCTGACATCCTGGCCTTTCCTGCACCACCCACAATTCCAGAGACTGCATCCCAGCATCTATACTGAAACTGAAATGTGACACCGTGATGATGAAGCCAAGGCCAACCAAGGATTAAAGACAAATACGCATGGCGACATTTCCGTGGAGATAAGCACGTCATATTATTTATGTTCTGCGATACAAAAGCCCACCCTAACAGAAAAAAAACTCAGCCCAGAGAGCAAACCGCCAAAACCCAGATTTTAAGTTGCCCTTTAATCTGGCCTCATGGCATTGCCAAGGTGCCAAACGGGTTCTTTAGTGAAGGGCGTGGAGACCTCTGCAGGTGTGAGAACGTTACTAGATGCTCTGACAGCACTGCATTTTCGGTTTGCTCTCCGTCGGCTGCACTTGGATGGACACCACGTTGTTGCTAGGAGACAGGTCGTTTTCTCTGCGGTCCGACATCTGTTTCTGGGAGACGATGCGGTAGATCTCTGTGCGGATACATCATAAATAACGTTATATGAACGCTAGTGGACATGCGGAGAAGGTAAGCCACCACCTTCCGGATTGATGCTGAAAAGAAGCATCTAGGACAGCGTGAGCCACTTTTATAAGAAAAATAATCTGGGAAGCTACCATGTTGCTCTCCTGGGGGGAGCTAGGGGGTGTTGCCCTTGGAAGTGTCGCAATCTACTGGGAATGTCTTAGTGAACAACCTATCAATCACCATCGACTGGATGGCGACCACTGGTATAGAATGTTACTGAGCTGCAAAGTCCCGGACTGTGGTGACTCCCACACATGACCACCTCTGCAGAATCTGGAGCAGAGAACTAAGACAAAACCAGGATGCTCAGCTCTTTCTGAGGCAGGAATGGGCATCGGCAGATTTTTACTAGTAGGGGTAAAATCGGTCTTCTGTGATACACGGAGGCAGTCATTAAACCCAAAAACAGGCCAGTATAATATTAATGTCTATTCATATCCGCAGACATCCCATGAGTACGAGGAGCATAGCTGAACTGACAGCTGTAGCCTCCAGTCAGAGTTTGTATTGAGAAACAGCTTCTTAATAACAGACATAAGTTCGGCAGATATATGTAGGAAATTGAGGCTCAGTGCAGTTTCATAATTAAAAAAAACATACCTGTCAAAATGGTCTGGAAGGCCGTCTCAACATTAGTAGAGTCTAAAGCTGACGTTTCAAGGAACGACAATCCATTCTTCTCTGAAAATCACAGACGAAATTCCACACGTCATGTCCACTGCATCGAATGCATAGCTGCATGCAGCAGCGGAGTGATTTGCAGGGGTGGTGTGTGAGCTGCAGGGTGCTACGTGCCACGTACCCGCGAAGGCCCGCGCCTCGTCGGTGGGCACGGCCCGCAGGTGCCGCAGGTCGCTCTTGTTGCCCACCAGCATGATGACGATGTTGCTGTCGGCGTGGTCGCGCAGCTCCTTCAGCCAGCGCTCCACGTTCTCGTAGGTCAGGTGCTTGGCGATGTCGTACACCAGCAGGGCCCCCACCGCACCGCGGTAGTACCTGACACACACACATTTGTATTCACATCTTTGTGGGGACTGTCCATTCATTTCTATAGGAAAAAACCCTAATCCCAACAATGACAACCTTAACCCTAACCCTAACCCTAACCTTAACCCTAACCCAGCCCGAACCTTAACTTAACCTTAAGACTGTTGGCATTTTCAGGTTTTTTGATTTCAGTCACAGATTTTTATAAAACCGAGTCCCCACAACTTCAAAATAACAGTTTTTAAATCACATTACACATTAACTAGACAATATACTTCAGAAACATAAAGAGCAGAAGGCGCACAAAGACATGAGTTGGAATGATGTGACACACCATCACGTGAACCCCAGACAGCCCATGGTTTTGGTCTGTCCTGGAGGGAGCAGAATCATGGACCGTCTGGGGTCCCCGAGAACCAGATTGAGAAACACCGACATACTCCATAAGTCATACAAATGTAATATTTTTTATAGTTGTTTTTATGTCCCTTGATTTTTTATTTAATTTTATATTACATTTCTGTGCAAATGAACAATAAATTGTATTTTTAATTATTTTCACCAATAAAGTTATCCCTCAGTTCAAATTCAGTTTAGATTAGCACCAGCATTAGACTAAATGATGCTGTCATATTCTTAATTAAATTAACAGTACAATTAAGGCTAAGAGCTTAGCTGGGCATTATCAGCAGGATCAAGAACCATTGGGACAAGTGTGAATAGCAGTGAGTGTCCCAGGTCTCACTCTCTGTTGGATTTACCTCTTCGCTCTGGATCACTCACAGTTTAACACCATTTAGGAAGGACTCTTTATTCACAAATGGCAGTGCAGTAAAATGATGCTGGATTCTAACTTCTAACATCAAACTGGCCGGCTGCCTTTTGGTCTGTGAAGTGTCACTCCTCTGCTGATTAAATCTCGCTTTGCTGGCTAATATATACGTCAGTGTCCTTAAAACATTTTACATAAAGTCTGATTTATGGAAGGTCAGGATTAACACATAAATATTGATGTGATACAGCAATGTAAGTAATAGCGATTATTTAAGTATTTAAAACATTTACAACAGCTGTGGTGGGCTTTTAAAAGAGAATGAGAACAGCTTCAATACTTATTAAGCTGAATATTTTGCCTCTGGGGGACTCGCTTTAAATCGTTGCCAATTGCAGCCTATACTGTCTACTACGAAGAGGAATCCACATATGGATCTCAAAAGTATTTTTTCATGGCTTGATTCTGATGTTAATTCAAAATGTGTAGAACAATATAGAAAGATTTCCACTGGGCAGCAGATCTGGCAATGAAGTCCCTATGGGTCCTTATTATACCCAGTGAAATGTTCATTTATTGATTCAGGATGCCGGGAGGAGCATCAACATATGCCATGTGTCACACCCTAAAACAGCCTGCTGCATATTATAATAACACATATGGTGTTACAAAGTCACAAATATACGAGGTTGACAGTGGGGATCCTTGCAGCTGCTGGTGATACTGGAGCCTGCGAGAGGCCGTCACTGACACTCACGCCGAGGTGATGGCTCTGTAGCGCTCCTGTCCAGCCGTGTCCCAGATCTGGGCCTTCACTGTCTTCCCGTCCACCTGGATGCTGCGGGTGGCGAACTCCACCCCGATGGTGCTCTTGCTCTCCAGGTTGAACTCGTTCCTTGTGAAACGGGACAGCAGGTTGCTCTTTCCCACGCCAGAGTCCCCGATCAGCACCACTGCAAATGACAACCACAATATGCTACCCAGGGCTTATGTGTATGTTGGGCATAGTTCTGTGTATTTAACTTTGAGGTACAACAAATTCCACAGTTTGAGTGGCATCTCTGAATGGGTCCGCAGATATATATAGAACTGTACATGTAATCTTTCCCAAAAGGCACAGGGATATTGGCACCCTGGACAGGATGCTAGACCATCACAGATCACACACCTATGGCCCACAATCCTGAAAGCAAGTCATGTCTTTCATATAAATATTAATCCATCCATCCATCCATCCTACTCCCAACCAATTATCCAGAAAAGGGTCACAGTGAGTCTACAGCAGTGATTCGCAATCCAGTCCTGAGACCTACAGGTTTTCACCATGACAGTTTGCCTCACCTCATGTTCCTGCACCGTGAGAGGAACCAAGAACCCCATCATTTGTTAGTGTGAGGCCACTGTGCTGTTCCAATATTAATGCACATAGAAGAATTTCCCGATACTGACTGTGGAGTTTTAATTGTTCATTGGTAGAACGTTTTTGCTGGTGTATTGCAGGTTCTGTCATGTTTTGTTCCCCTACACACAACTCCAATTATAAGAACCTAGACTAAGTTCCTCATTTCATCAGAGTTCATCGGGAAAATGAGGCAGTGATTACCTGAAATCTGTGATCTGGCCCTTTAATTAAGATTTAAACCTGCTTCAGATACTGATCCGCAGGGTCTTTGTCAGCTTTCCTTCTAATACAAAAAAGTTCATAAAAATTAAGCTTCTTATTTGTCCAGTTAATGACTGCATTAACACAACAGCACTAGACTTGATGTCTAAAAGCTTTTAAGGGCTTTTGACCAACAACCAGAGTGTCATCTCATCTTTTAAATATCACTCAATTACATTTGCATTTTCTGGTCATTCATCCCAAAAAAAATAACTGCAGATATTAGTACATAACATAATATTATATACTTTAATCAAAATAACTAATTTATTAACCATTACTGCTTCCTTTTCTAGCCATTTATCCTACTCAGGAACACCTGGAGGCTAACCCAGGCAGCCAGGGGCACAACACTGGTGTCTGGCTTGGCCAGGGAGTCAGTCTGCTGCAGGATACAGACACTCCTGGCGAGTCAGAGAAGCCCGTTAGCTTGCATGGACTGTGGCAGGAAACTTGAGTATCCCAGGGAAAGCGGCACAGCACAGCAGAGGGCATGGAGCTAGGTGTAGCAATGCGACCTAATCAGCCACCAACCCGCGGGTCTCATACATTATCTAATTAAGCTGGACTAGTATTATTGTACAAAACGTTTTCTTCCACGTTAACTAGCCATTAAATCCGGCTATTCCGCTATTCCAATGATCTGCCGGCTAATAAGAAATCCTTAATGCTGGAGATAAATAATAAATAGCTGCATCGGTAAATGCCCTTGCTCATCATTTTCGTTTCTGTATAAAAATAATAACAATAATAAAAAAAGAACAGATTCCTTTATCTGGTCGTCAATAGATTCAATAGCCGTGAAGAACCTTACGGATATTTCGTTTTTCTTCCCATTGTCTATAGGTATGTACTTGTCTCCAATTAGTTACAGGAAATCAAAATTATCTTAAGGCGCACACTGCTCTACCGTTGACATAGAAGATGAATATTTATCGAATAAAGATTTGCTGCATTTTTATGAGCCATCAAGCAATCGCACGCAACAGCAATTAATATTGCGGACTAAGCAGTTAGGCAGACTGGCCCGAATACGTTGCCCCAAATGCACAAACGTTAAATATGTCACCCAGCTACGTGGATTCATGACTTCACATGACTTTGAACTCAACCTACCATTAAGTGACCACTAACCCACTAACCTACTGTCAATGCCACCCTGTTCCTTATCCCATTGTCACCAACCCAGCGGCCGTGTCACCATCTGCGATTACACCGCACCTCCGCAGCCTTTATTCCTACGCTTTTCACATTCAGACTACAGATGTCATTAAGGATATCACCACGGATCCGACTTGTGCCGGGCTCTTAAAAGCATCGGCCCTTTCGTTTCATGAAATGAAGCATGCAAAGCGAAACCGTGCTCGCTGCGCCCTGCCGTTCAATATCTCCTGGCACGCGTGTATTACATACATATATAGTGTCATAATCATGCGTTTACCTTTAAACAAATAATCATATTCGTCGTCTCTGGTCCCCATCTTCCTCTAGTCAAAAAAAATTATTATGTAGGCGAACCTTGGATATTTGAAAATATATAGGTATATAGAATGGGAAATAAGATGCTAGGAACGGCAGACGAGTGTGCCGAGCGCTTTGTTCGCTTATCAGCCGGGCATCCTCCCCTTAAATTCGGGATCTGCACTTCCGGGGTCACATTATTATACTGGATCAGTTACATGAATCTTCTTCATTATCATCATCATCATCTTATTATTATTATTATTATTATTGTTATTATTATTATTATCATTATTATTATTATTATTATTATTATTATTATTAGTAGTAGTAGTAGTGGTAGTAGTAGTAGTAATAATAATATACATTATGAAACCAAGCATGCAAAGTTTAACTTATAAGGAAAGGACAGATTTTTATTTAATTTGGAAGCAAATAAATCAAAAGTAAAAAAGGATAAGTGAATCACTGAATGTCAATTAGCAATATGTGTCAGTTATTAAAAACAAAAGGTCTGACAGTGAATACTTAATGATGTGAGTTTTAAAAGCAACGTGAGGCAGCTAACACAAAGTGAGGCTGAGTTGCAGAATCTTTTGTCACAAAAGTTGCAAAAAGGTTTCAGGGGATCGTCTAAAAAAAAATAACAAAAGCATGTGCCAAACACGGCCAGACGGCATCAGTGGAGAGGAGGAGTGATCACAGGTTGAAGCTTCCCAGCAGGCAGATGCACACATTTAAAATTATACAACCCCATTTCCTAAAAAGTTGGGACACTGTAAAATGTAAAAAGAGAATGCAATGCAAATCATTTAAACCCATATTTAGCTGAAAATAGAACAAAGACAACATATCAAATCCAACATATCAATTCAGCATGTTTTATGACAAATATATGCTCATTTTGAATTTGATAACTGGGACAGACGCAACAAAAGACGGGAAAAGTTGTGCAATGCTAAAACAAACACTGGGTTGAATATCTCACATCTAATTAGGTTAATTAGCAATGGATCAGTAAGATGATTGGGTTTAAAAAGAGCCTCCCAGAGAGGCAGAGTCTCTGTGCAGTGAAGATGGGAGAGGTTCACCACTCTGTGCAGTGAAGATGGGAGAGGTTCACCACTCTGTGCAGTGAAGATGGGAGAGGTTC